TCAGGTGTGTTGAAGCAGAGGAATGTCTAAAACATGCAGGACAGTGGGTCACAAGGAACAGGACTGAAAACATCTGCCTTAACTCATCTATAAGGCAAGTTTAAATACCAGCAGCTGTTAGGATTATTAGAGCAGGTTAAACTACACCACGAGTAAATTTTATTCTGTCAGTAATACAAAAGATTCATGAAAATGGTACAATCTTTTATAATGCAAAACTAAAAATATTGGTTTGTAGGGATGTCCCATCCAGATTTTTTGGCTCCCGATACAATCAGATTTTTTTAATGTCTCTCCGATACCGATCTGATACCGATCCGATAGCTTTATTTCTTTATTTCTTTCCAAATGACAAGGTTGGTAGTATTAAAGCGAGCCCTGCTGTTCCCACTACGAGAAACATCCAGTTTGCAGATTTTGCAAGATGCAGTTTCAGCATCATTGTTTTCCATTGAAAAGTGTTCCCACACTGTGGACATGGCTGCATGCTTGTGTGCATCTTGACTTCTTAACGGCAGTTGTAAAGCATGATGATGCTGAAAACTGGATCGGCTCGATCACATGAATAAATCCGATTCTACCCGATTTTCAAAAATTGGCCATATCTGCCACCGATACTGAGGATCTGATCGGGACATATTGGTTTTTGGACATTAATTCATTCATATTTATGCTCTTTATGCCTACAGTTCCTTATAGCTGAAACTAGGGCTGCCACAAACGATTATTTTTATAATCGATTAATCACAGATTATTTTTGAATATAAAACATACAGCTTATCGCGCCAGCATACAGCTGCTATTATATAACTATCGTTAGATTTTAGCTATATGCTAACTAAAAATGACTGCTGTGGAAGGCAAGTTCTGCCTTGCAGATCTAGCATTGTACAGGTTTCTCTTTCATTTTATTAAAAAGATCCCACACGTTTGAGCTCCGTTGCTGGGTAGCCATGATACCAGAGCCTGTCTGTATAATGTCTTGTGACGTCCACGGCCTACCCCAGTTACCACTACTGTGCATGTGTGTCAAGGAC